GTTCAGATGTATAGCCATGTGATCTCATATAGTTCGTGTTTCTAACAGTCCAAATATATACTATATCGTTTTGCTCTCTAATCATGTTTACATTGTTGACTCCAAAAAATTAGATTTATATTAATGTGACTAAAAACATCGTATTAACCAGTTGTAATAGCAAGTGGTCTAGTATTTTAAATAAAGGGTTGCACATTATAAAGCTTCCACATTATCAACAAAAAACAAATTATAATAAATGTTCATTTAATTTATATTTATTATATTTATTGTTAATCATAAACACTAAAGATTAAAATTAAATTAGAAAACTAAAAGCGAAAATAAAAAAAATAAATGAATAAAAATAATAAATACAAGGTTATGGAATATTTTATTAGTAATAATAATATAAGGAGACAAAACAAAAGTAGATGTTGGGAGACATGAATTTATATCGGAAGATTACGAAAAATGTTATTGAAAAGGTGTTCAAAGAGAATTTGACTAATTTTCAGAAAGATAATGCACAAGACTAACATACCATATTTTAGATTGCATTCACCGTATCATAAAATCGATGGCATGGATTATTAGATCGGGTTATTAGGTTTAAAGTCGAGCTAATTCGTTTTACTGTGTAAACGTGATATGTGGAATGAGATAGGAAAATTCATGATCGGATCAAAAATTATCTTATCGCATGTTGCATCTGCTTTGATGGATAAATCGTTATAACCAATCTCATTGTAACATCATGAATATTTCATTCATCCTTTGAAGCAAATGATAGTTCATAATTGGCACATTCACTTTTAATATGGGGTTAGATTATGTTTGCATCCGCATATAATATATCTTACGATTGAGTCATTTGTCGACATTTTGGGAGATGTTCTTATAAGACTTTAATATGAAGAGAACTTTCGTCGAGAAACAAGATCGTGGGATAGTAACCGAGATCATTTCCTTTTATATTGATGTTCATAATTTATATTGGTTACCACATAGCACATAACGATTCGTTGCTTTTTAAATAAAAATTATCAATATTTATGTTACATATTTGTTTGCTAATATATATATATATATATTTGTATAAATGTTTATACAAAATATATATAAATGTTTATACAAAATTATCTTTTAAAATAAAAATGATCATATCTATATTCAATTCTTTGTATTGTTGGCAATTACCTATCGCATATACATAATTTACCGGTTTTGATTGGTGACGTCATCGTTGTAGCATAACATGCATGATAACA